ACTGAGGTCATCCTCTGAGGACCTGTAGCAGAAGTGGCTGGGGGGCAGGGGGAGCTGTCTCTAGAGGGTGGTTCTAGGAGGTGTCTGAGCTCTGTCTCCGATTTGGGGGCTGTTTGGGGTTTTGCTGAGGAAGGATAACAGATGGCCTCGGGTTCCTGGAGGATGCTGGGAAGTTCGGGCTGGCTGCTGGAGTTCCGGGGAGCACAGGAGGCCTGGTTGGCATGTAGGAGGTTATCAGAGGACCTCTAGGCCTGGAGTCAGTTTGGGGGTGACAGGGTCTAGAGTCCCGGGGTCCTAGATCTGGACAAGGGCCTCTTGTTGGGTCCAGGTCATGAGTCTAGCGTCCCTGGTGGGTGGTTCTCACATCTGGGGTTCTTGGGTCTGGGCTATGCGTCTAGGATCCCAGATCTGGAGTTAGGTGGTCCTCACACTTGGGCTCCCTGGGCTTAGAGTCCCAGATCTAGGGTCTCTCTGGGTCTGAGTCCCCAGGTGTGCTATCAGTCCGGTGACTTCCACCTGGAGGCTCTGGGTTTCAACAAGCCTGCGGGCTCAGGTGGAAGACGAGTTGGCAGGGCAGAAAATCTCATTTTCTTGAGTCTGGCTCCCCCACGTGTCAGGTCCTTGTATTACCTGTCCTAGATTTGAATCCCAGGCCCTGCTGATTCAAGGCCTGAGCTGGGTCCAGGTGGGGAGGCGGGGACTCACCGGTCATGACCCTGGCCAGCCAGCAGGGCGTGAGCGTAGGCGTCCAGCGAAGCGGCGGGGTCGTCCTTGGTCAGCCCTGTGGGCTCAGAGTCCAGGGACACAAAGAAAGCCGCCCCTTCTACCGCTTCCAGGGCCTCCGCCGCCCTTGTCTTCACCAACCTCCGGAGCTGGGCCCAGGTGTCCCTGCCAGGGGACCTGCCTGAGCCCAGCCTGGCCCTCGCCCCCCAAAACCCCATCCCATACTGCCCATCCGCGCCTCCCCAACCCCCTGGAGGCCTCACTGAGCTCACTCACCTGGGCGCCGTGGTCAGGGCCGCCAGGTGCTCCTCGTGCGGGCAGGCAGGGGAGGGGTCGTCCAGGATCCGCTGGAACTGCTGCTCCAGGTCTCGCGGGGAGAGCAGACCACTTGGGGTGTGGGTCCCCACGCGGAAGAAGCGGCCGCGGTGGAAGACGGCTACGTGCCGGCTGTCACAGAGGTGGTGGATGTGGTCTGGCATGGTCAGGAGATACAGGCCGAAGCGTGGAGACAGGACACAACACAACACGAGTCACAAGAGAAGTCTTAGATGCGAGAACTGTGTAAAGGCAGCCCTGGTGGCCCAGCGGTTAAGGCCTGGGCTGCTAAAACACAAGGGGATGGGTTCAAACCCAATGGCTGCTCTTAGGGAGAAAGATGAGGCAGGCCGCTTGAGCAATGCTGACAGCCTTGGCAGCCCCTGGGGGCAGTTTTCCTCCTCTGTCCAAGCACATGCCCATTGCCATCAAGACGGAGCTGACTCATGGCAACCCACAGAGGGTTTCTGAAGCCAAACAGCCAGCCTCATCTGTCTCCCTTGGAGTAGCTAATGGGTTTGAACCACCAGCCTTGTGGTGAGCCGCACAATACCAAACCCAACAATGCCACCAGGTCCCCTGGTGGATCGTTATTTTTCTAGACACCCGCCCCTTTCTAAAAACACATAGCCGAGGTAAAGGGACGAGATCAGAGCTGAACAGTCATCGGCAGAGGCAGAAGGAGAGGGGAAAGGAGACTGATTTTGCTCAGCAAGCATGGGGGCTCCTGCTTAGGGGGCTGGGAAAGAAGGCAGTGGATAGTCATGGGTGCTCCCGGCAGTGGCGGCGGCATGACAGGACTGATGGCATTGGTGCTGCCGAATCGCACAGTGACAAA